TAATCCAACCATCATTGCTGAAGTATCAGTTGGAAAGGTAGATGCTTGTGCTTGCTTGCTCCCCTCCCCTCCCCTCCCCTCCCCTCCCCTCGCTCCTTCCCTCCCTTGCACATTACAAATCTATTATTGCATTGGAAGCAAGACAGAGTGAAAAGAATATGGAGGTAATTCAGGCTACCTTATAGTTTTGACTATATGAAGTAGTAGCGAGGGATTAACTATATGCATTTTATTTCATTCTAAATCTAGACCTTTGCTTTTAAGGAAAAATGTTGCCCAGATTTATGTGTGTCAATTTAAACTGGTAAAGACTAATAAAAGATCAAACAGATACTAATCTATCTGGCCTTTCTTCATTCCACTCTTTTCTGATCCCTGTAAGCTCTAGGTTGCTTGAGTACATGTGTCTGGGTGTGTACACACAAATAGATTTTGTTAGTGCTAGTTGAAGTTTAGTAGAGCAGTGTTTGTAAGAAGGAAGGGTGGTATTTGGATTAGATTGTCATAAATAAGTAGATTATTTTTCATATGTTTGGGGAAATTCTTATTCCTCATGTCATGTCAGCCACGGTGAAGAAAAAAAATTCTTCGGTCAGTGGCAACAGGGACAGAGACGCAGGTCTGCACCTCCACCCACAGCAGGCTGAGGACCTCTGTTAGGGACCTCAACTCAGGTAGAATGGGATCCTTGGCTTCAGTGCAGAAAAGATTCCGGAGTGAAGCAGTTTGAAGCAGAGTTGGGGTTTATTAAAAGACTATGTATATGTGTGTGTGTGTGTGCATGTGTGTGCGTGTACATATATATGTACACACATATATCTTTTTAAATGAGTTTAATTCAAGGTGACACACAATTCAGAACAGAGCAAAGACGAACAGTAGACGCTGGCAGGATCTGAGACTGGATTTACTTTATGATTTTTATTTATTTATTTTTACCAAATGTCTTACAGTGTTTAGCAGACTCCAAGGCAGCACTTCATTCTAGCAACGGGTAGCAAAGGAGTGATGGCGAGGCATCCAGATGTTTAAACAGGAGTGGACGAGGTCACCCCATCTAGGCAGAGCTCACTGATGGCCGATTTCTTGATTCCTCCGTAGTCAACGTCCTTCCCTGCTGCCTTTGCTGCTGGCTTCTTTTCTTCCATTCTTCTTCCCCCCAGCCCCCAGTGCCTTACCTTCCCACCCATCTCCTTGGCCTACTTCTTGGGCTCTTTCAGGGACATTTGGCCACCATCCACACGGTGCCTGCAGCCCCTTCCCCAGACCCTGATCCTGAGCCATAGTGTTTTGTTTTTTTTAATGATTTACTTTTATTTTATGTGCATGGGTATTTTACCTGCATGCATGTCTGTGCACCGTGTGTATTATGTATATGGTGCCAGTGGAGGCCAGAAGAGGGCATCAGGTCTCCTGGAACTGGAGTTACAGATGGTTGTGAGCTGCCATGTGGGTGCTGGGACTGGAGCCTGGATTCTCTGAGCCATCTCTCCAGCTCCTGGGCTGGGTTTTCTGATTCTCGGTGGCTGTCAAGAGGCTTCCACTGGGCTCTGGGATGAGGCGACACCCTTCCCCTTTGATGTCCTCAGTCTTCCCATCCTGCCTCACTCCTTCCATTCAAAATTAGTTGAAGTACGACAGCAATGATGAAAATAAAATAAATCAGCAAATGCATGTTGAATTACCAAGCACAAATTTTATCTCACTAACCTGTAAGATACGATATTGCTCCGTGAGGGTCCGTCATAGGAGGACCGGTGAGATGGCTTAGTGGTAAGGACACGTGCTGTGCAAGCGTGAGACCTGAGTTTTGATCCCAGCACCCATGTAAAGACCCACATGTGGCCTTACAAGCATGTTAACCCCAGACTGTGAAGGGTGGAGAGAGAAAAGGATTTTCGTGGCTTGCTGGCCTTTGGCCTAGCTGCACATTCAGTGAGAGACTCTGTCTCAAAAGGTATGAGGCAGAGAGTGATACAGAGTAGGACACTGGATGTTCTCCTGTAGCCAATGCAAATATATACACACGTGCATATACTGCACACATATCACATGCATATATGTGCAGCTACCACACGCAAACACCAACCACACACGCATATATCACACGTGAATATATCACACGCATACACCACACACATATGCATATACCACACACCCACCATACACATGTACATACCACATATGTGCATAGATTGCATACACACGTGCACGGTCATGCATATATGTATAAACCATACACACATGCATATTCTGCACACATGCCACATATGAGTATAAACCACACACACACACACACACACACACACACACACACACACTCATGAGAGCGTCATTGTGAAGCTGACATGCTGAAACATTTTTTATCAGCGTTTGTTTCTTTAGCTCTTTCATTTCACACTCTACTATTTTATCAAGACGTTCCCTTCACTACCACTCTGTCGAGCCCTTTGCAAATCTCATATATATATATATATATGAGATTTTTTTTTGAGGCAGGAACCTATCCTTGAACTGACTATTACCGCCCAGGCTAGCCTGGAGCTCAGTTGTCTTCTGCCTCAGCTCTGAGAGTTGGCAGTACAGGTTCAAGCTGCCGTGCGTGGTTAAGTAGTCTCTGTGTCTCAGTCCAACAACCCTGAGGGTTCTTTTCACTTGAGGTTGGTGAGAGGGTGTGAGGCATAAGCAGGAGGAAAATATTTGAATGTCTTTTATCAAAAGCATGGTTAAAAACGTCTCATTTTTCTTGTCATTCAAAAATTGCAGTGCTCCATTTTGCCCAGAAGATGGTAACATTACCAGTGATTTAAATCACAAAACAGCCCAACCAAGTCTGGACCTAGCTAGTTCTCACTCAGCGCCTTCTTTTTTTATTCTGTCTTGGAGGTTAGAATAATAGAAATAATTACATTTAAAATAAGACAGTTTTTCTTATTCTCTTCCTTGAAATTCACAATGAAGAGGCTGGAGAAGAGAATGTGCTGCAGACCCTGTCCTTATCTGTCTTAATTTCTGGGTTTCCTTCAATAAGAGTCTCAAATAAAGAGCCTCATGAAATTGAAGTACCTCTTAATTGTATCTTCTCATGGTAGGCTTTAAAAAGCCTGATTAAAATAACCTAAACTGCTACAATCTTTTTTATCTCTTTTGATAACGAGCTCAAACAAAATCCACAATTGAGTAAGTCGTTTACCCCTGTCAGTTCGGTTTTAGAGCACGTTTTCCTTTGTTATATATATATTTTTTGGCTGTGTTCTCTGCTTCTTAGGAATAGCCTGTGTTATCAGTTTTCAACATTTTTTTAGTCACAGGATTTCCTTGCACTTTTAATAACTGAGGACCTCAAAGAGCCTTTTAAAATACGGATTTTGGCTGGGAGGTGACTCAGTGGATAAGCACCTGCTGTGTGCAAGGATGGGACAGAGCCCCAGACCCCACATCGAAGCCTGGCCGGTGTGGTAACTACTTACAATTTGTTATTGGTATTATTATTATTGTGTATGTATGTGTGTGCGTGTGCGTGTGCGTGTGCGTGTGTGTGTGTGTACACTCGAGTGTCTGGAGGTCTGAGGACAACTTTGTGGACTCCGTTCTTTCCCTCTCCCCTCACATGGGTTCTGGTTTTCGAACTCAGGTTCCCAGACCTGTGTAGTAAGCACAGTTGTCTGTTGAGCCCTCCCCAGGCCCCATACCTGGTTTTAACTAAAATTTTACTCTGTTTATTTAAACCAGGCAGCGTGATGTTATGATATGCATAGAGTGTTGCTGTAAATTAGAGTGTCCATCATCTTTGAGTTAGTCATTTTTTTAAATTGTGGCAAGAATCTCAAATCTACACTGCTAGCAAAACCCTCAAACATGATACAGTAGTAAGAATGAGCCTTATGTTGCACATTTCACCTCTAGATGTCAGACACTCTGGCCAGGTTTCAGGTCTTGCTCCCCTGCATCTGGTAACCCCCTATTTTATTCTTTATCTTGGCATGTTTTCTTTTAAAACAAAAAACCCCTTTATTTAGCGTGTATGTGTGTGCGCGTGCGTGCACGCATGTACACAGGCACACGCACGCCATGGGACACATGTGAGTGTCAAAGGACACATTTTAGGAGTCAGTTCTTTCTTGCCACCATGCTTCCAAAGGATCAAACTCAGTTGTCAGTCTTGGTGGCAAGTTGCTTGCTGATCCATCTCATTGACTTCCTTTTCTTTTTAGATTCCAAACGTAAAGGAGAACACGAAGCATTTTTTCTTGGTGTGGAGCCTTCTAGGTTCATCTGTATTGTAGTGATGTCGAGAGTCTCACTGTTAGAATCTGAGAAATAGCCTGTATAGACTTATAGAACGTTTGTGTTGCTTGTTTTTTCTTTTTTGAAAGCTAGAAAGCCCAGGGGCTAGGTGTGGTGTCACAGTGTAATCCCGGCAGAAGGGTGAAGACCAGGAATCCGAGACCATCTAAGTTACATAAGTGATTTCCAGGCCAGCCTGGGCTAGGAGCCAGGCTAGCCTGGGCTAGGAGCCAGACCCTGTCTCAAGGGGCAGGGTACCTTTTCTCTGCATCATCATCATCACCCCTTATCTCTTTTTGACAATAGTCATCCTTAGAGGGGTCAGGTGTATCTCCTAGAAGTTCTATGCTGGTGATAAAATCGCAGCCGTGTGTGTGGTAGGCAGACCACCACCGCTGCCCTACATCCACCTTTCTGCCCTTTTGATTCGTGTTTCTCCAATGAGTAGTGCAGCTAAGCACCTTTGCAAATGTCCACTGACCATTTTTATATCTTCCCAGAAAACGTCCGTCCAGATATCTTGCTCATTTTCACACTGAGTTATTTGTTTTCCTACTACTGAATTCTTTCCATATTTTAGATAGTCACCCTTTATCAGATATATGGCTTGGGGATATTTTCTCAGCTGCATGTTGCCTTTTTGTTGACTGATCCTCTTGCTGTGCCGAAGTTCTTTTTTATGTGTCAGCCTAACTGCGTGGAGAGAGGATGCT